GGGAGGGGAGGGGCTGCAGGACATGGGCCAGATGGCCCCGCCCCCAATTGGGGTGGGGGGGCAATCAGGGGTGGGACTGGTCAGGGGGAAGGGTGGGGAGGAGGGCTGGCTGTCCCACCCTTGATCAGGGTGGGAGAAGCTGATCAGGGGTGGGACCGGCTAGGGGGAGGGGCTGCAGGAGGTTGGCTGGACCCACCCCCTGATCAGGCCAGTTTGCTGGCCACAGTGGGCATCATAGCAACCGGTTGTTCTGGTCGCTGGCTTTTTATATCTATATCTATATCTATATCTAATACACATTTTCAACATCTCCCTTTTGAATTTTAAATAAATTTTAAAGGGGTATCAAATGTCTGCTGGTAATTATATTAATAGCAAATACTATCTACTTAGATACAGTTATTAAATAGAACAAAAGAAAGGCGCATTCAAAATCCTTGTTTGCTCCTACGCCTATAGGAGAAAACGAAACCACAAATCTCCAGTGTTCAAACTTTCACATAACTTATAAGATCAAAATATGTAGAACTTCCTCATCCTGAGGTTATATATTGCCAAGACCTTCTAAAATTAAGGCATACTCAGCCTTGCAAAAGTAACCAAATGATGGGAATTCAATGTATTTAGTTCCAAGTTTTCTCTTTTTAGTTTGTTCAGGATATCATTCTTTTTTTTTTTTTTTAATATATTTTATTGTTTACAGAAAGGAAGGGAGAGAGATAGTCAGAAACATCGACGAGAGAGAAACATCGATCAGCTTCCTCCTACACATCTCCTACTGGGGATGTGCCCGCAACCCAGGTACATGCCCTTGACCGGAATCGAACCTGGGACCCCCCAGTCCGCAAGCCGACGCTCTATCCACTGAGCCAAACCGGTTTCGGCAAGGATATCATTCTTGAATTCTAACCAAAGCAAGACTTTTTATGATTCTTCCATGTGTACATATTAAATTGGTTTTTCTCCCATTAAAAATAAAGAGAAAAAAGGGTCCTTTTAATAACTGAAATGGTAAGTATTGATTAACTTGAGTTATATTAACAAGTCAATTACTAAATTACTGATTTAAATGACTTTGGCCGGTCATGTTACCTCAGATTTTCCTCCACTAACATGTAAGACACATATTACCATGTGTCTCACCAGGTAATACGAGCACATATGAAACAATCTCGACACAGAGGTGAGGTAATCTTGGAGGCTGTCTAGTCCAATTCCCTCATTTTATTTCCCTCATTTATAGCTAAAAAAAAGTAAGGTCCTGGTCATAGAAATGATTGGCAGTGACCATTAAAACCCAAAATTAACTGCTAGGTAAGAAGGAAAAACAATTTGGGGTACTACTTCACAGAAAAGATTTTTGAAATTTTGTCAACTTACCCACAATAGGGCCAGGATTCACCCCATACTTCACAAGCTGATCCAGAAGATCTTCATTAGTGAGTTCAGTTACATCTAAGTCATCTTTATCTTCTAGTCTGGGTTTATCAGTTTTCTTTGTCGCTTTCTGTAAACAAAGTCCAGTTATCATTTCAATATGAATTTTAAAATGTCACTCTATGTACAATGTATAAATAATACTATGTACAATAAACATGGAAATTCACTTTCAAGTTGATTTATAGTTATATTAAGCCTCAGCTATTTGACTAAATTAAAAGTAACTCATTGTTTGGAGATATTTTTCTAAGTTTGGTTATAATTACACAAACCTAGAAGCTAATCAACTCAATTTTACAGACATTATTTTTTTTTTGATTGATTTCAGAGAGGAAGGAAGAGGGAGAGATAGAAACATCAATGAGAGAGAATCATTGATCAGCTGCCTCCTGCAGCCCCCCACCGGGGATCAAGCCCATAACCCGGGCATGTGCCCTTGACTGGAATCGAACCTTTAGCTCGCAGGCCGATGCTCTATCCACTGGGCAAAACCAGCTAGGGCCAAACTTTACTGTTAAAACAGTCAATGTGGGCTAACCTGTCTAAAGAGGAGGTGATGGCATGAAAAATTCAAACCAGTAAATGGACCGGATTTAAATATTTTCATCCAGATAACTGTAAATACAATTCACTACTGGCCTTTTAAAACATTTATAACATTTAAATGTTTAAGTTAATCTAGGAGTTTAAGACTTTACCATAAAAATGTATAAAAATGATTTCCTTTAAACAAGCACATCAGAATTTACAAAGCCTAAGTGAATATTCTTCTCATAATATAGTGACTTTAATAGCCAGTTTTTAACCCATGAAGGAAGTTAGGCACATCATTTCTGACAAAGCTTTTTTGCCATACTTAGTTCTATATGACCATTTCATTACGAATACAGTAGTCTGCCCTTATCCAAGGGATATATTCCAAGATCCCAGATCTATATGACCATCTCATTAAGAATTCAGAAGTCTGGCCCTGGCTGGTGTGGCTCAGTTGGTTGGGTGTCGTCCCATGCATTGAAAAGTTGCCAGTTCGAGTCCTGGTCAGGGTAAATGCCCAGGATGCAGGCTCAATGCCTGGTAGGGTGTGTGCAGGAGGCAGCTGAATGACACTCTCACATCGACGTTTCCCTCCCTCTCCCTTAAAAAAAAAAAAGAAAAGAAAAAAAGTCCGCCCTTATCCAGTGGGTGCCTGACACTGCACATAGCACTGAACCCTATACATACACCATATTTTCTCCATCCATCCATCCATCCATCCATCCAAAAGCCCAGCCACCAGAATGACGATGGAATGACTGGTCGCTATGATGCACACTGTGGTGGAGAACCAGCCCAATTGGGGCCCGGATCATCCCCACTCGGCCAGCTCAGCCCGATTGGCAGCCCCAACCCCAATAGGGGGCGGGGCTGGCTGGCCAACCACCTGTGGCCCCTCCGCCTACCGACCCGGCCTGATTGGCCCCCATTGGGATGGACTGGCCAGACCCCACCCGTGCACAAATTTGTTCACCAAGCCTCTAGTCCTATATAATAAAAGGGTAATATGCAAATCAACCAAACAGTGGAACAAATGGTCACTATGATGCACAGTGACCACCAGGGGGCAGACGCTCAATGCAGGAGCCGCTGCATTGGCAGCGGCAGCTCTCAGGTGATGCACCCCGGTACAAGAGGAGAGAGTCCGATTCCAGGGTGTGTCACCCAAGAACCGCCCTCTCGCAATCCAGGACCCCACAGGGGATGCCGGTTTTGGGCTGATCCCCACAGGACAGGCCAAGGGACCCCACCTGCCGGAGGGACCCGCTCACTCTGCAGACGCCCTTCAAGCTGAGGTGCCTCCCCAGGTGCAGCCAGCAGGGGAGGGACCTCAGGAGGTTGGCTCCAGGGCCTGTCCAGCCCTTCTCACCTAGACCTGCCCCACCCCGCCAGCCACCTTCTAATTAATTTCCTTTTAATGTGCATGAATCCGTGCACCAGGGCACTAGTACATATATACCTATGAAAAAGTTTAATTTATAAATTAGGCAAAGAGATTAGCAATAACTAAGAATAAAATAGAACAATTATAAGTACAGCATAATGAAAGTATATGAATATGGCCTCTTAAAATATCTTAGTGTATTATTATATGTACTAGAGGCCCGTTGCACAAAAATTTGTGCACTCGGGGGGAAGGAGGGTCCATCAGCCCGGCCTGTGCCCTCTCGCAATCTGGGACCCCTCAGGAGATAACGACCTGCTGGCTTAGGCCTGCTCCCAGGTGGCAGAGGGCAGGCCCAATCCCTAGGTGCAGCCCCTGGTTGGGCTCAGAGCAGGGCCGATTGGGGAGTTGGGGCACCTTCC